TTGGGAGCCTTTGTTCTTATGCCATCATCCCACACCTGCACTTGAGCTGGGTTGTGTGTGGAATCCTGGGAGAAGGTGTGCTGTGGTCTAGAGAGAGGCTGGGGTTTCTGGAGTCACATGGTCAAAGGTTGGGGCATTTTCACAAATACACACCCCTGATCTCAGAATTTTTTCCTTGCTGAGGGGTTCCGTGCAAGTGGGAAGTACAGAAACCCCAGTCTGTGTAGAACTCTTAAATTAGCTGATGGTTCTTCACTCTAGAACTGAAATAGTTCTGACATTAAAGATTCTTCTCATGGGCACCAGCAGTAGCATCTTCACTGTCAACCTTGTGTGTCTTGTCCTTGGCATTAAATTAACCCTCTTTATATAGGTAACTGTACACAGGAGCTTGTCCCTGGGTGGAGGGAGGTCTCTGATTAGGGTGGTGGTTTTTCCAATTCTGGTCAGATGTTCCTGTACCCATGGCTGTCATTAACTGATGTGTAGTAAACTGCCCAGGGCAGCAGATCCTAATGTGACCCTCAGCCTGGGATTTAACATGCAGGTCAGAAGTTGTGCTCAGATGTTCATTTCTGCCCCAGCGATGAGATGATGGGTGCCTTCTATGACCCATAAGGCAACTGAGTTCTCACCAAGCCTATATTATCCATGGGAAAGATTTTTTTTTTCGAATACCCCAATCTAGTGTTTGGTCTTACTTTAGGCATTGTTAGGAAGGTGAAATAAGGTGGATGTATATAGATGGATGTTTACCTGACATAATACTTTGAGCCTACTCAAGAAATGGAATCGTCAGTGAACTTTTTCAAGGAAATGTGGAGAAAAAGGTCTAAAAGATAAGGTACAAATAAACATGTTATATTAAAACTTATAAACTACACTATATAGCTCTGAAGTGAGAGACGGAAGCTGTACATTAAATGGAGGGAGTGACGCCCAGGAACCTGAAAGAATAGCCATCTGATCCCTCAGGAAAGGCTAACATCAGGATTCTTACTCCCTCCTCTAGGACTTGAAGCCACCATGATGGGGAAGGAGTCTCCATGCAGGTAGGGCAATGGAGGAGAGGGAGAAGAATGATGGGTCCCAAGGCCCAGGAAGCTGAGTTTTCTCCATGCTCTGAGGTCTGTGTTCTGAGTCCCAAGCACAAGACAGAAATAGATGTCCTTTTATTCATTCACACAGATTTTCATGCCATTGGATATAGAGACCAGAAGTGGCCATGGTATCCCTTGTGTCAGGTGCAGTAGGCTTTGATGTTCAAATTATCTTAAAGTTCAGTCCTAAGCAATAGCTCACTGTCTCTGGGGTGGAATCTGCTGAAGAGGAGATAGGAAATGGGTGTGGAGATACCATGGACATCTGAGGGTATAGGGATCCCATCAGGGATCTTAGGACGTTCATGTAAGTCACATGGGGGGGCCCACACCATCTTATAGGGAACAATTCCTGAATTCCCTTCATAGCTCACTCACAGCTTCAACTTAAGAGAAATCACCATCACTCATACAGGGTGTGAACTAGATCTGTTTTCACACTAGAAGTAAAAAGTCCAGGCATGGAAGGTCACTCAAGGTCAACAGCCACAGCATTCTGATAGGGATCTTTCTCTCCCTGTCCCTGGTATGCAGACCAAGCCTCTTTCTTAGGCTATTCAGGACAGGAATTTCTTTTCACATCTGTCCACTCGATCAAGCTGAATTTCCTCAATCATCTGTTTCAGCCACACTGAGAACATCAAACATCCATACTGCACCATGCTGAGAATATCAAGCATCCTTAGGTCTTGGGAGCTGTGTTCCTTCTGTGTTAGTTGCATGTCCCTCTCCAGGGCTTTTCATCAAGCTGGCCTCCTACCCCTGACCGAGGTGTCTGTTGTCTTGTGCATAAAGGCTTTCCAGAGTGCACTCATCATAAGTACTGTCCCTTAGTCTGTCCTTGACCTCAGCCAACACTTAGTCAATTTCAGTGTAAGTCCTTGGTCAAGTCCCCTTTCCCACTCGCTGTCTGAGGTCAGTCAGAGCAGGGATCATGTGTGTGAGTGAATTCACCTGCAGACTCCTTCCCAGTCCTGAGGCGACAGTGGATTCCTCTTTTCAAAGGTCAGTCCCAGTGTTGGAGAATTCAGTACCTGAGGGTGAGGTCCAGGAACTGACATTTTTGAAGTGTCTGGGTGATTTCAGCATGCAGCCTGGGTGGAGATTTCCTCCTGTCAAGGAATAGCAAGTATCCTGTCATGAGCCGTATGAGAGCGGGAGCCTCCTTGACTTCCCCACCTCACTATGCTGCAGGGGCTGGTATTTTAGTGAGTCACACTGAGACTATAGATTAGAACTACCTGAAGGTTTCCCAGTGCTAATGAGGTCCCTTCTTCAGGGATTCTGATGTGATGATCCAGGCGGGACCCAAGTAGTAGCAGTTCTGAAGGTCCTGGGTGGTTCTAGTATGTGCTCTGAGTGCAGCAGCTCAGCCCCAGGAGGGTCCACTAGTCTGGGTTCTTTCCTTTTTTCTTCTCCTGGGAGACTCAAGAGCTTTATAAATGTCACAGCAGCTCAGGGAAGAAGACAAGGGCCAGACCTGGAATTCTTCCTGAGACGGACTCTGCATTTGACGAAGTGACTTTTTAAAGGTTTGTAGGGCAGTCTTGATCATGTGAGAAAATGCCATTGTTCAGCCTTAAAGCTTATGGCAAATCCTCACTGTGAGAGAAATGTTTTTACTTTTTAGTGTACAATATTTTTAGCAAAAATGTAAGAACTTCAGTTAAATACTTCCTGTATAAACTTAAGTTCTTGGCTGAATACTTGAATACAAGGGCCACTGCGTCCATATCCTACAAAGTACTAGATTTGAATGAACATGGTAGGTTTTCCTAGAGGAGAGTCTTCATGGGTCAGAACTGTGGGTGCCTGGGGGAGTCCAGGACAGTGGCTGAAGTGCCATGGTCATGACTTGGAGGCATTTGGAGAGGGAGTCACTATGTATTCCTGGATGACAGGAGGAACATTATATTGTAAGACTGTCGGGAAAAGAAATTGGAGCAGAGAGGAACTGAGGGATTTGCCGGTCACTTAAATCCAAGTGCTTGGGCAGAGGCTTGAGTGTAGGTGAGGGGTGGGGCTATGGACAGGAGACTCAGACATCAGGACCAAGTCTGTGCTGAGGGGAGCCCCATCCTGAACCTCTGCAAGGAGTCTTCTCTCTCCCACTGTAGACCCTCGAGCCCTTTGGTGTCCCCTGGTGATGTCTGGTCTCTCCCTCAAGTCTGCAGGTAAAAGGTGAGGACCAAGTGGCCCTGACTTCTGGGTCATCCAGGTGTGAGCCTGGGTCAGACCAACATCATGTTCACTCCTGACCAACAGATGCCTCATGAAATCTGAGGACAGGAAGTTGTCTCTCGAGGCCTCTGGGTGGATGGGTAGGTGGGTGGGGGTATCCACCTGGCAGCCTTCTTAATCACTCCCAGTACCAAGAGAAGGGCCCCCAGGTTCTGGTTCTGTAGTAGCTGCCTCCTGTGTCCTGAAGGAGGGTCTTTGAGAGGCCTCCCAGGGTGAGCACAGAGCCTGGTCTAACTATGTTCAGGCACCAGTGTCTACTTCCCCAGACCTGCCCCAGGGGGAGGGGCTCTGAGACAGGTTGACTGCACCAAAAACCCAGCCGATGTGCCTATAGCCACCCCGTCTCTAATCTATGCATGCATTGTCTAGCAATGGTCCTAGCGGAGTTCCTCTGCCTGGGTTTTGACACCCAAGACCAAGGATCTGGTTCCTTGGAATGTTCATTTTTGGATCCATGGTCGCTCACAAGCATCCTTTAGTGGCCTTGAGGCCAACTCCATTCTGCAAAGTTCATCTTCTGAGCAGGAAGACAATATTTGTCTAAGGGCTGAATCCTAATTTTTTAAGACCAAACTTTCATTTGAGAAGTCCTTGAAATGTTAGTTTCCTGGATGGGGTTACAGAAGCTTCCATTCATGCCACCACAGCAAGAATCAAGAATTCTGAAAGTTGAAGCAATTTACCTTTTTGGATACATAACTTATTAAAGCATGTCAGTGCAGAAATAGAGGCATTCAACAGAGCAAAATCAAGCAATGGGCTGACTGTCCTAACAGAGTAGAGAAACTTTCTAGCTAGAGCTCAGTCCCAGGAATGAGATCTGCCTCAGCCAGAGAGAGGTTCAGACATGGGTTTTGATGGATTCTTATTACAACTAGTCAAAGGCAAGCTCAAAAAAACCAAGGTTCATATTTCCCCATGAGTGCAGTTGGCTCTTGGACCAACAAAGAGAACCTTTGGTGACTTCTCACATGTAGGCTGAGCAAGAACCCAGTGACAGGCCTTAGCTAGTGATTCTGACTCCAGGCTGACCTCTCTGGGCCTGTGCTCGGAGATCCTAGGCAGGATGGCCTGGAACTGCTCTTGTACCAGTATCTCCACATCTCCTTTGTGTGAATATCAGGTCTCAGCCACTCTCTAGCAAACTCCTAGAGATGTCTGAGGACCTCCCTGGGCCCAGCTGTGTCCTCAGAGCAGAATTTCCTGAACTTCTGCCTGGAAGCTGCAGCGTTGGGCGGATTCCTTTCTGGAATGGTCTCAAGGTCTTTGGTAGAGTCTTCATCAAGACTCTGCTGGAAGGCTTTTGGGGAACCTGGACTTGGGGAGATATTAGCACAATTTCTAACTCCTCCGCCATCATCTCATCTGATGGTGACCTTATATTCATTCTGGACTTCTATTTGTGTCTCTAGGTACTCTTCAGTCTCCATTCTGGGACTTTGGCAAAGGATGTCTCAGACTCCTGTGCAGGTGCCACATTGGAGGGCAGGGGACAATGGGAGTGGGGGCACCTCACAACCAGACTCGAAGCCCAAAATCAATTGAGACAGACACACACACACACACAACTCCTAATGGTTTTGACTGAAGTTAATGACATGAAAGTGAAGTGTCTTGTGTAATGATTCTTTTAAAGAGAAAGACCAGAGTAAGCTGGGATTTCTATCAGGAGGAAATTTCATTGACGCTTCTTGAGAGGCATGTAGAGAAATGGATATAAGACCTTGGTGACCTCGGCATACATGCATGGATGTTTACATAATACAAAAATACTTGATTGAAGCAGCAGCTCAGTGTCCTAGGAGGCTGAGGCCCCAGAACTTCTAAATGAAAGGTCAAGGCTGTGCTCCTACAAAATGCTGAAGGCAGGATCGAAAGGCTGTTCTGATATACAAGTTGTTCCTTGAAGGTCAATGAGCCTGTGAGCACTTAGAATGAATGGCCACACTTCTCCCCCTGCTATCTCAATCTCAAGGCCTCAGGAAGCTGAGCCCCCTCCCTGTTTCTTAGCTTCCCTGTCTCTTGCCTCCTATCCTGGCTACAGGGGGAAAGTTCAAGGTTATTTGTTTCCATTTCAAAGTTTATTCATGACTTTGGCTTTGGTGAAAGAAGGATTCATGGGTATGGTGGACCATACTAATACCTTGTCTCCCCAGTGGAGTCTGGATCAATGTTCCAGAGAATGTCAAATCCTTCAGATCTGGTTCAGAGGGAGGGGAATTTGGGTCCTGCTCCCTAGGTGAGCTGAGACTTTCTCTTGTGTAAGGTTGAAGAGATGGGCTTGAAGGGGAGACTCCGGCCCTGGGTGCCTAGCTGGGTCTTGGAGGTCCTCACCACACCTCTGCTGGGCCACTTGAGCCTCCCAGGGGCCCTGGTCATGTTGAAAGTTTAGGGTCCTGAGCTATGTATCAGTCAAGGTCAGACTGCCCTCAGCCAGAGCAGCCTCTGCATCCACCAGGCCTGCAGTTCATAAATGTGACCCACCCCACTGGCTTTAGGGTCTTGGCAATGGCAGCTGGTTCCAAAGTTGGAATCCCACATGAATATATGGCAGGCAATAGACTCTCATGACCTTGTTTTCCACTTGACCCTCAGGTGTGTCCTGTCCAACCTTCTCTCAGGCAGTGTTCATG